AAAAGTACCTAGAGTCGCCTGTGTACCATTCTAAAATGGGGCTTTGTACATACTATGTTGGTACATTTCAGTTTTCTTCTAGAACATAAGGCTGATAAAAGGCGTGTCTTCGAGTCAAGGGTGTATGAGTTGAGGGTCTACGGTGTTCACCCTAAACCCTCAACCCTCGAACCTAAATCCGAAACCCTCAACCCTCGACCCCTATAGGTTCAGAATGCAGGTGTAAAAGTTGAGGATAGACGCAGCGAGCCTTTCGCGGAGGCAGCGTGTTGTTCCCACATTGTCCTACACATCGGGCTTGTACGGCCCGTGGGTTTAGGGCTTAGGGTTTAGGAACCTATGGTTTAGGGTTAAGAAATGGACCTTCAAAAGTATTTTCCAAACTAAACTGGCCCTATCCCCTGAATCCCCAGCCATAAAGGCCACTGTACTCGATACTAGGTCCATGGTCCAGGTACATCTTAAGCCCTCGACCCTACTCCCTGCGTATCTTTGTAGAGCCCCTACATACCCGGGAGGTTCCAGGTAAATTCGGCAGAAAACCTCAACCCTTAAACCGAAAGGGTTGTTTGTTGTTCTGGAACAGGCCCGAGCAGGGCACCGTTGGGGATACACGAGGGTTTAGGATTTAGCGTTTTTGGGTGTAGGCTTTAAGGCTTGAGGGGTCAGGGTGTAGGGTCGAGGGGTGCAGGGTTTGGGGGTTTGGGGTTTAGGGAGCTTCTGGGGATATGGGGTTTCTTCACGCCAAGGCCTTTGAATCCTAAAACCCAGGGTGAGTAAGAAGGATTGAGTCAACAAGACAGCAAGTGGCTTCCCGAGGAAGGAGTTGCGACCCCGCGCTAAGCCACGCGGAACAGGGTTTGCCCTACAAGTATAAAGGCCTGTAGGGCCCAGAAAGTCCAAAATCCCTTAATTAGGGAATATACCTTAAATGATAATAAGGACCCTTACTATAATTTAAGGTATATTTCCTAATTAAGGGCTATTGGACTTTCTGAGGGCTCTCTTATGGGTGTTTAATTTTTGGATTTATGTAGGGTTCAGGCTTTGCTCAACTTGAGTCATTCCAAGGACCGGCGTGTTTAGGGTTTAGGGTTTAAGGTTTAGGGTTTAGGGTTTAGGGTTTAAGGTTTAGGGTTTAGGTTTTAGGGTTTAGGGTAACCATACAACCTCAAACCCAACACCCTACACTCAGGGAGTTATTCCAAGGACTGGCGTGTTTAGGGTTTAAGGTTTAGGGTTTAGGGTAACCATACAACCTCAAACCCTACACCCTACACTCAGGGAGTTTTGCTTTGTACCCTCAGGGTTTACCCTGGTGTTTGGATTCCCAAAGCAATCGGATAGAGCCCTAGATCAGGATATCGGAGCCCCAAACCCAGGATTGCAAACTGTACATCTAGGGTTTAGGGTTTAGGAGTTTCCCATAATTAGGGGTACCTTTTTGGGGGTCCCCATATTAAGGATTATAGTATATTGGGGTCTATATTGGGGTACCCTACTTTTGGGAAACTAGTAACGGTACAGGGTTTAGGGCTTAGGGTACCTTAACCGCGTGATGCCCATGAGAATCCAGATAAGCTTCTTTTGACTGGGATTATGCCGCAACCGGTGGAAAAGCGCGGCAGGACGTGCTGCAGAATGTGGGACAAGGTGTAGGAACTTCTTCTGATAGTTAGTTTGAAGCACATTGAAGCACACCCTAAAGCGCCGAGGAGCAAACTTGGCAGCAAACTACCCATCTGGACATTCCTGGGAGCGCACGATCCCTTTATGTTGAGGTCTATATGCATGGATATAGGGGGGGCTGGTTGAGGGTAAGGAGCCCACGGTCGCCCATATCCCTTACTTAAGAAATGTTCCTCAAACCCCGCTAGAGATCCTAGTATCAAGCCCCATTGGAGATCCTGGTATACAATTTGAAGGTTTAGGGTTGAAGGGCTTAAGGCCTTCAATTTGACTGAATTTAAGGCATTCCTTCCAAGCATAGTAAAGATCCTAGTAGCATTTGGTAGCTTCCTAAAATAGGCCCCAATATTAAAGATCTTATTATGAGGACGCCAAGAACGTACCCTGAGTTTTGGGAAGCCCCCATTTGAGGTATTCTCCTAGACTAAGATGTAGTGGTCTCTCTGGGTTGTTAGACAGAACCAAGCTTGGAAAAGAATAACAAAACGAGAAGCAACAGTTTGGGTCAAGCACGAAGGAACGGGGCTTGATACAACCCCATAACTGCCGCACTACTCGCCCCAGAGGTGCCTTAAGAACAACAGAGCCAACAGGGTCTAAACCCCTAAACCCTAAGCCCTAAACCCCTAAACCCTAGGGTTCGGGGATTGATTCGCAAACTCCCGGGGGGGGGGGTTCTTGAGCAGGCTGCCTGGAGGGATGATATGCATATATAATCATATTTATATGAGTCATAGTCTAAACTCCTTAAGGGGGGACATATAAGGGATTATATAGGGGACTATCATAGGGGTTACTAAGGGGAGTACTAGGAGTTTAGACTATGGCTCATATGAACTGTTCATGCAGGTGACTGCATGTATACACACACACATATATATAGAGAGAGAGAGAGAGTAGAGTAGAGTATGTGTGTGTTTGACTCCAAACTGAACCGAACTGTTTACAAACAGCTACGTAATTACATACATTTGACAACGGTCTTTGTACCGCATATGATTGTTTTTCCTTTTTCAACGGTGTAGTTAGTGTAGGGATTTTCTTGGCTTCCTGCTAGACCCTGAACCCTAATGAAACCCTACGGGTCTAAGGAAATCTTGAACCACTTAGAAATCCAAAATACTGCGACGGTTGGGGTATAAGGTGCATGAGGTGGTGCAAGATTTTTCTCCATCCACGCTACCTTAACCCCATAACCAATTTTTCTTGGGCCACTCCAACTCGAAGCCTCGAATCCAAACCCCACGCGGTTTAGTGTTCAGGGTTTAGGGTTTAGTGCGAAATATTAGGATCCCCATTATAATCCCTACTAAGGGGAGGGAGTTTATTAATCACGGGTCTGGGTTAAGACATGATTATGACCTCACCCGACAACAGCTTCATTGGTGGTTGACATGGCACATGGTCCCAAGGTCCCAAAATGTCCTGATTGCAGCCTCTGGACTTGGGGTTTAGGGATTAGGGCTTAGGGCTTAGGGTTTAGGGATTGGGGATTAGGCTTTAGAGTTTAGGGTTCAGGGTTTAGGGATTAGGGTTTAGGGTTTAGGGAGTAGGCTTAGGGATTAGGGTTTAGGGCTTAGGGTTTAGGGTTTGTTTGAAACCTGAATCTTAAACCATGTGGACTCAGCTAGCTGAAGCCTAAACCGGTAGCCTCTTTCAAACCGGCTCCAAGCCCTAAACCTTGGAACCCCATAAAAGGGTTTAGGGTTTAAGGATTTAGGGTTCAGGGTTTAGGGTTTAGGGAGGAATGGATCCCGATGCAAGGCCTACAGAATCCCCATAGGGTTTAGGGCTTAGGGTTTAGGGACCCTTCCTTTTTTTCTGGACTGTTGTTACCACTAGCAAGTAAACCCCAAAGCCTAGACTCCAAGCCCTGAAGCCCAAACCCAAACCTTTGGAAACCCTAAATCCGAAACCCTAACAAAAACGGATCCCTCAACCCTAAACCCTTTACCTGAGCATGGCATGTTTGGATACCTCGGCTGCTGGGGAAACGGATAGCAGGTGAATCCTAACGCTGTTAGGCAGGAAAGTTTGACAGTTTAGTGCTTAGGGCTTTAGGTTTTGAGGGTTTTAGGGTTTAGGGCTTGTAGGACCTATGATCGCAAAGAAATAGAGTCATGGAGCTGGCATCAGCTTCTGCCACAGGGCATTGCGGCCGGTCATGCTGAGCAAATTCATGTCGTCCTGCACCGAAATATAAGAAGCACTAGCTTAGCAACCAGCATCTCTTGAGATTTTCCGCAAATCTCTGGAGTCTTACTTTCAACACCAACTGGTTCCTTGTCTGACGTTGTTTGCCCTACGCAACTAGAAAAGTTCGGGGGCTTAAAGGTGGGAAGCATTATCCGGGATGGGGAGAGAGACTTCTGAAGACGCTGCTCCTCGTCAATCTCATCATCATCCCCCTCGTCCTCCTCCTCGTCCTCTCCATCCTCTCCATCCTCTCCTTCTCCTTCTTCTCCCTCTTCGTCTTCATCAGGCTCTGGCTTCGCCTTGGGCTTGGCCTTCGCTTTGCCTTTAGCCTTTGGCTTGGCACCCAGCGTCATCTCTGCAGTTTTCAGCTTTGATTCCTCTGCCGGCGAGAGCTGTGTTCCAAAGAGCCAGGCCCCAAACTCTGACAGAACCACCTTGCCATCGTTGTCTGAATCCATGGCCGTCAACAATGCTTTGATTGCGGCGTCATTCCACTCTGCAGCCGACCCGGCCAAGCCTCGCATTAAAGCCCCAAGCTCAAGAAAGTCGATCATGCCGTCGCCATCCTTGTCGTATTTTTTGAACGCCTGCAGCTCCAAAGGGCCAAAAGAGGACTTCTGTAGGGACTATCATCATACAAGAATGTGGAGATGATACGCGGGGTCAGGGTCGTACCAGGATCCCCAACAGCATCCCAACAGGATTCTACGACTCAACCGTGATCATACAAGCTCCCAGCATAGGGCCTCAAGCACATGCTGCACCCTCGCATCACTGTCATCGGCGTTGTCGACCTACACCGCGAATGGCTTCATCAGAAATGATCTGTGGGGTTTGGAGTTGGACAAATGCTGAAGCTCAAGCTTCTCCTGATGTCTATGTTCAAACGCAACTCCCTGATTGGCTGTCTTACCTACTTCTCCTGTCTCGCCTCGTCTGCGTCAAGGCCACCGGGCATTGAGGCTCCGCATTTGATTTCGAGGGCTCAGAGTCTAAGCCACAGAAGCTGAGAGCAGCACAAACACAAACATGAAGCTGTAAGTCTGCAAGTATGCTCGCCGTGACGCAGATGGGCCGAATGCCACGCGCAACCTGCAGTAGAACGTGTCACCTGCCTGGAGGCACAGCTTCGCTATCGCCTCAGGGCAGCGGAAAAAACACCTAAAAAACTTGCGCACTAGAAACAGCCTTGCAATGCTGCTCCAACATGAGAGCCCCCTATTCGGTTAAGGAACTTGTTCGGATCACTATAAAATTGAAACCCCATTCATTACTTACTATATTCCCATAATATGAAAACTTAACCCCTAAACCCTATACTATATACCTATGTTATGATAACTTAGACCAACTTTTGAAACGGCAACCAAGATGATCGAGCCTCATCTGCCGACAGAGTCTCTCTGACTCGCGCCTGACGGAGCTTTGAGGGTAATATCGGGTTCAGGGTTTGGGGTTTAGGGTTTAGGCTTTTTTTATCGGGCTTGGGCTTCAGGGTTCAGGGTTTATAGTCTAGGGTTTGGGGCTTAGGGCTTGGGGTTCAGGGTTTAGGGTTTAGATTTACACCTAAAATTTCGGAATCGTCTCCAAAGAGTCCAGCGAAAACCGTTGGGTCTCAGAATATCAAATGAGATGTTTCCGTTACTCCCTATATTATCCCTATAGTCTCCCTTCCTGAACCCTAAACCCCAAACCCTAAACCCTACACCCTATCTTCACCCAGAGGCTGCAGAAGCCCAACTGAGCCCGGCGCTCTCAAATGGCTTCTGGAGATGAAGGACAGGTTTTGTTCCTGCACGAAAATCCACAATTTGCTCAAGGGTGATATTAGGGTTATCTTGGGGTTATATTGAGATAATGGAAAATAAAATGGAAACTACTATAGTATAGGGTGTCTTTATGGATAATTCTATGTATTACATTCTTACAACTCCATTGTGACTTGTATATTACTATAGCATTACTCTATTATGAATATTGTTTTGGCTCAAGAGTTGGCTCCTCCACGAGTACGCTGAAGAGAGTCTGATGGTGCCGGCCCACCTTCTTGCTTCACAGATCTACAGAACCCCAGGGTTTAGTTAGGGTTTAGGGAACCCTTCAGCGCCAGAATTAAAGGCTCTGCTGCTGGCATACACCCCAACTGTGTGATATCTACCTCAGAAAGGCCAGGTCTTGGATGGGTTTTGGGTTGGAACCTTGCCCCAGCCACAACTCAAGGATGCTTCTGGGTAGACTACATAGTGCAGCTAGAGGTCACAGTAGCATACAGTTGTACTTTGCCTGTAGAAGTTGCAATGCGCAGTGCTTCAGAATTGCATTCTAGAAGTCCCATCTTTGTCTCTGATCCAGCCTGCCGGATGAGATAGCTCGTACAGGGGCTGACGGACGGAGAGCCCCCAAAATGCGCGGTCTTGCTTACACTTTGTACGAGTTTTTCCCAGCACTGAGCCTTGTTTCTAAGCTCCTCTTGAGGCAGGCTTTTAAAGGGAGGGGTCGACGTATCATGTAGCAGTTTCCATTTTACTATCCATCAAACCCCTATATAAACCCCTATATTAACCCGGCTGTAACCCCAACATAACCGTTGTATCTCTTCCTGAGCACGGTTGCAGAACGCGAGGAGTGACGCCTCGACGGCTGTCTGCGTCACAAGAATCTCCTTTGCCTCCGGAGGGAATACTCATTAAAGCAGACTATTTCTACTAATACCATCGTTACTATTACGCTCATTACAAATAGTTTCTATCATCACTGTTACTACTATTTTCATATTTGCCAGGTGCAAAGTCTGCTCCTCGCCCGGCAGGCTCTGCAGATTCACAGAAGTGCCTTGGTGAAGCTTGACTTCGTATGCAAACTTAGCCGTGGGGCAAGACAGAACTCGGGCCACGGGCGAGCGGTCTTCACACACTCGAGCACTGGCAGGCCAGGTAGAAATCTTTCAAATTATGATTATTACTATCACTATTACAAATGATATTGATATTCTAATTACTATTAATATTGCCTTTCTTATTATTAGTACTCTTATTACTATTCTTATTACGATGATTTCTATTCCTCGTATTATTATTACCATTTTCTTTCACACCTGTTTTCAGCTGTCTGCATGCCCCTCCGGCCTGCCCTGCGTCGACCAAACCTACGCGGAGCTCAGGAAGACACAACCACAAAACTCAAAAAAAACGAAATAATGCAAGTTTGAGTAACGGTAGTAAGAATAGACATAATCGTAAAATATTAATAATGGTGATAACAATAGAAATGATTCAAGGGTAACATTAGGGTTATATAGTGGGTATATTAATGGAAAGCAAAATGGAAACTGCTGCATTCATAATAGGGTATATACAGGGGTTATATTTAGATAATATCATATTCTACGTTCTTTTACATTTGGTTTTTGAGTATTCGACTCACGCCCCTAGTCCCGTTTGGAACAGAGCCTGAGGCCCGGCAACACTTCCGGTGGCCGGCGGCTCAGCAGTCGGGGCAAAGCAACCTGCAGAGGCTGAGAAGCTCTACACGTGTGATCCCCCAAAAAAAATTGGGTTTAGGGGTTAGGGTTGGGACTGGAAGGGACTTACTCACAAAATGTTGGGAATCTAAGGGGTTAATGGTAAAAATCTTGGGAATGTCAGGGATGAATAGGAGTTCGGAAAGGAGATTATATCCCCAGGCCTGGTGGCGCAGCGTCACCACCAGCAGCACAGCAGGCGCATCTGGGACCAAGAGTTTAATCTTATCCTTACTGGGGAGTAGTAGAGAAGAAGGAAAAATATTGTATATAGCGATTATACAGGGATGATATAGGAATCATGTGGGGATTGTAATCCCTTGTTCCCTAATAACCACCAGTAAGAATCGCTTTGCAATGAGCTGTGGCGGCTGCCTTGGCTTCTTTGAGTTCCGAATCCCAACTTGGCACCATCATGGAGCGTCATGACAACACCTGTTTCAGCAGACTGCTTACCTTCCTGCCTGTGAGTAGGGAATGGGGGAATATGTTATGTAGGGAGTATATAGGGATTATTTTTCCCATATTCCTACTAACAACCAGTGAGTTACTTTGGAGTCCTTCTGGGAAGTCGTGGAACATCCAGCCTTGCTGGACGTCCACACCATCCATCTGCAACGGGCTCCTCCCAGATAAGCTTGGGCACCGCACACAAGATGATGGGTTGTGAGGGAGAATGGGTGGTAAAGAAAGTCAAAGTGACGTTCCACAGAGTCCAAATAGCAGGGTGCGATGCCAATGCACATGAAATTTGCTGGCTGTTGGGTTCTTGCCAAGCAGGACATCTTTGCAACGTACGGCGGATTCGCCATATCAGCTTTAAAACGCAACAGTAGGCTCATCGCGAAACCTTCAACAAGTCCAAGTGCCCTATAAGGAGCCCCTCCCATGAATCAACAAAAAAAACAAGAGTTATATAGGGGCTTATATAAGGTTATATTGGGGCTATGCAGGGGTTATATGGGGATAATGGAAAAGAAAATGGAAACTACTATTTAGGGTTTAGGGTGTATAATCCCCCTTATGTCAATGCAGTGCTCTGAGCCGCCAACGTGGTAAGCTTCCGGAGCTGTACAGGGCCTCCGGGCCTTGCCACGGCAATCGGGAAGGGTTTAGGGTTTCGGGCTTAGGGTTTAGGGCTTAGGGCTTAGGGCTTAGGGTTTAGGGTTTAGGGCTTAGGGTTTAGGGTTTAGGCGGGGCTCAGGAGTGCAGACGTCTTTAACAAATTCAGGTCTTGAAGCCACAAGGCCAGCACAAAGGCCCCGCTTCCAGATTTGAGGCAGGTTCCCCAATGTAGTAATGGGTTCATATTGGGGGGGGGGTTCCATTTTTTGGATCCTTTAGGGGGTCTAGGATACCGTATTTCCATAACTACCTTCATTCATTTGATTCTCTAACTCCATGTGTAAAAATGATAATGTTGACTACTACTTTCTTGTTTATAATAGTAGTAAGCGTCGTAGTGTTTGCAGATGTAGCTATAATAGCAGTAGGAGCAGCAATAGGAACAACAATAGCAGTGGCAGCAGCATCAGCAGGAGCAGCAGGAGCAGGGGAAGGAACGGCAGCAGGAGCAAATTTGTTGTTATAGGCTCATGTCTGCTATGTCAGATGGTCATGCAGTGCCTCGCGCGGAGCTGGAAGTGAGCTCGGGAAATGGAGAGCGCCTCCTGCAGCGTGGCTTGTAGGGTTTCCCAGATGGAGTGACCCTTCTGCTCCTGGCCTTTCTGATCAGGCATTCGAAGAACTCGGGTTGGTGCAGCCGCCCTGGCAGAGCATAAGGCATAATGTAGGACCCTTTCGATCATAGTGTAATGAACGTGGAGCCAAGGATGTATGCAACCATGAAGCTTGTCCTGAAACCAAGGCTTGCCGAAAACCAATGGTAGGCTCAACCCAGAACATCAACATCTAAGCTAGAGAGTCATTAAATGGGATCCATGGTTCAGCAGGTGCTACCTTCAACCTTAGGGCAATCTCTACTGGGAGTTCCGCAAAACCACCCTAAAATGGGATCCCACGGCTTTATGAGACGATGTCCAGGCCTATAGTGATCTCACAATCATCGCGCACCTCACCCGGGCGGGGCTCCCAGAGACGTTGTTTGACACTGTGCTGCGACTTCGGAAGTTAATGTGTCAGAGCAGCAGACATATACCATAATACACTATAATATACTATATCATACCATAACTACCGTAATATACTATAATATACCATAATATACTATTATATACCACAATATACTATAATAATCTAGAATATACCATAATATACTATATATCTTTCACTCCAAACCTGTGCAGGAACCAGCCCTGTGGCTAGGCCAGATGCAGAACTCCCAAAACCAGAGACTCTGTGCCAAATCACTTTCCTTACTAAGCTGGGTTGCTGTTAGGGAGCTTAAATCAAGTTACCTACTTGCCAGAGATTCAGAGTTTAGGGTTTAGGGTTTAGGGTTGGGTTGCTGTTAAGGAACTTAAATTAAGCTATATTATCCCCCAATAATTCAGAATCAAATTCAAAAGACAATGGCAAATGAAATCGAAACTGGGGGATCATAGGGATTAACTTCAATTAAGTAATCATGGGTAAAAATAGTAATCAATATGGTTTCCCCAGTATAGTAAGCTACATGGAGTTCCTTAACAGCAAACCAGTAAGGGGGAATGGGCGAGCGAATAAAGGCACCATTCTACAGGTCTACATGGGGCTTCTATCGGAATTACAGGGATCCACTCAAACCACTCTGCCTTAAGCACCAGTGTAACTTTCTCACAGCACTGGATCCGAGCCAGCTTCTTTTCGTCACCCGCACAAGGAGTCCAGGAAGGCTAAGGGCCTGCACTGGTCACCTTGGCCCAACTCCATCTGCAGGACCACGCGGCGGCCACGGATCACATTTGTGATCCAGTGATAGCAGCCTCGGCTCCCACTTGTGAGTTATCTGGGGGTTTAGGGGTTTAGAGGTTGAGGGGTTTAGGGGTTTAGGGGGGTTTACGAGGTTCGGGTTAAAGGTTCTGACAAGGGTTCGGGGCTTATGTTTAAAGAACTGATGGACCAAGGGGAAGATAGTGGGCACCTGGCATCAAACCAAAGTTGATATCTAACCTCAGTCTTCCCCTAGTAACCACAGCCTTCACTGCCTCATAGCGTGGGGATGCCCTGAATTAGGCAAGCTGCTATGGAGAACCCACAAGGTTCTCGAAACCTGAACAGGGTACCCAGCTCAACCTCTCTACGCGGCGTACCGTAGCTCAACTTAGACTCGCAACGGGATCCAAAAATCAGATCCCCTAGAAATCTTGGTGAAGTTATATCTGGGACACATATACGGATGATTCTGGGTGAATGTGGGGGATCTAATTTTCGATCCTCTCAGGAGTCTGGGAGATCATCTCGGCAAGGTGCGGTCTCCGTAGAAGAAAACGGCATCGCCGAATCCAAGTTTCACACTTCTTGGGTGCTCCTCGCCATCAAAGCAATTTACGCCACCTCAGGGGGCAACCCTAAATCCCAAGCCCCCAACCCTAAACCCAGAGTTCTTCTCAGAGCTTGGCAAGAAGTTGGAACTGCCCTACGGGATGCTGGGGATATGTCAGAGATAGCCGGGGAATTGAGAGGGTTTCGGGTTTTGGAGTTGAGGGTTCAGGATAAGGGTTAAGGGTTTAGGGCGGGTCCCACTCAAGAATGCTTTCTTCTTGAAGAATCAAGTCAGATCTTCAGCCAGTGCCACAGGCTTGCCCGCCTTCAAATGTCCTGGGGTCTGAGAGCAGCACAACCGCCGTCACCTGCACAGATTGTCTTATCTCAGCGACCCCCCCAAAACAGAGTAGAATGTTCCTAGTCGCAGGGGTTCCCCCAAGACGCAAACCAGAACTGCAATTTGCGCACATTGCCAGAGAAAATCCGTAGCCATAGCAACCGCCTGGGATCCGTTGTCCCGGTGCCGTTGGATGTGTCCTTCAGCGCCCAGGCGGCGGACGTCGTACATGATGTACTCGATCTCTGGGAAGAGGATCTGGCCTCACCAGAGATGTGGGGGAGGTTGCAGCCTTCAGGAATGCAACACCAACCATATAATCAAAACCGATTGTTCTCAAAAATTGCTGTGCAGACATTGAACACCGTTTAACAGGAACATGTCTGCTGGCTGTTAGGCTACCTGGAGGACCAGATGCTTCTGCTTCAAATTCGCTCTGTTCCCTATGTAAGATGACCCATGCAGGCCGCACGGAGCTGTCAGAAGCATTAGGATAACAACAAAATCACGGGAAAAATCCCATCAATAACAGCAATAGTAACACTTCTAGTACTATACTTTTCTGGTACTCGTACTAAGAATATGACTAAACTCCTAGTATCCCCCTTTATAACCATAACCCCTACAGTGGTCCCCTATATAATAATCCCGTATAATACAATGTACCTACTTTAGAGAGCTTAGATGATGGCTCCTGTCAAAAAAGGCAGGGACCCGGCCTTGGATGCCGTGCCAAAGCTCAGCATCCAAGGCCTGCAGGGCACCGCGACTTCCGCTGTCCAAGAGAAGCAAGGGTTTAGGGTTCCAGGTTTAGGGTTCAGGGTTTAGGGTTTCGGGTTCAGGGTTTAGTGGTTAGGGTTCAGGGTTTAGGGTTTAGGGTTCAGGGTTTGGGGTTTCGAGTCTAGGGTTTAGGATTAAATAACTTACTGGTGGTCAGTAAGGAATAAGGGAATGTAGTCCCTACATAACCCCTATATTGTCTATTCCCTTATTCCCTACTTACCCCCAGGATGAGAAGACTGTAGGCATCCTTCTGGGATCGTGTAGGGGCTGTTTTTTGAAAGGGATGCTAATTCTTCGCCATCATCCGACCCAGGCAGCATCCATCAGGCGCTGGTAGATCTCTGGGCAGTCTTCCTTCAATGCGAGTTCCACCCTGCAGGGGGCATCCCAATAAAGCGATTAGGGCCTCCCATTGGGGTAAGATTGGGGTTATATTGGCATAAAATGGAAACTACTATTGAAGGTTTAGGGTTTCAGGTTGGGCCATCCTCAGGCGTTTAGAGGATTGGGTTACAAGCGGGCATCAGCGATGTATATAGGGGCGGGATTATGGAGGCTTCTATTTTGAATAAGGTTGGGGATTTGGGAGGGGGCCTCGGTATAGGAGTTTCTTTGCATGAAGTGAAGCGACCGTTCTGGTGTAAGGGGGCTCGTTGAAAATCAGGATTACATTTTGTGATTCGGGGGTGTTGGGAGGTTGCTCTGGTGTGGGTTTGTAACAGTATTGCGTTGTGGATTTGTTGGGAGTGGTGTTGTGGTTATCGTGTTTTGGAAGGTTGTTCTATTGGGCTTTGTGGGAATTCAACAGGTGTGGGTCTTGGATGTGAGATGTGGGGTCAGGCAGTGCTTTTTCATCAAGATGGTGGATCAGGTTAAGGTGCTTTGTCTTTTGAGGCTTTGGGGAGTTTGCTTGATAAACGCGATGTTGTGGCTTGGGGGGCTGCGGCTAATGAACATGAGGAGCTGGGTAAGGAGTCCTTCGTGCTTTGTGCCTTGGGATTGTGTTCTGGATCATCGTGTTGACTTTTGGGCGTGCTTTGTGTAATCTGGTTTGGGAAGGCTTGATTTCAAAGGCGGGTTCAGAAATGGTGGACAAGCGTGAAGGGGTGGGTTATAAGATGTGAGGTCTGCGGTATGCCACAGCTTACTTTAGAGGGGTCGCCTCCTGAGGATTAAGCGGGGACTCTTTTGCACGACATGCACCTCCATACCTCGTGTCTGTACACGAGAGACTCGTCACGATCGTCGATAGTCTTGACATCATCCCTTTGTGCCATGTGGTGAAGGCGGCTGATGTCTTTGGCAGCAAGAAACTTCGGCACAAAGGCAACTTTCTGCTCCGCGACAGCAGCATCCAGCAGCTGATAAACTGGCAGCGGCGGCAACGGACCGCCAAATCTGACTTCGTCATACTCGGAGTCGGAGTCATCATTGGACTCACTACAAAACCACATCCAAGCTTTGTGGAGTGTGCTGGGACTTCAAATATGTCTTCCGCCAACTTTCTGGGCTATATGTGGTCGGGGCCAGTGTGGCTCTCTACACTTGAAAGCAGGAAAGACATCCAGCGATAAACTCCAGATGAAGGCGATGCGAGTGCCCAGGCCTTGAACTGGATGGGAGGGACTTCTGGCATAGGGAAATCCTGAGTCCAAGCTGGGAGGTGTGGCAATTTATGCTTTGGCCAAAAGTAGGGACCCCAAGATCCCCCTTATTCTCAGGGCCCTAATTCTTGAACCACTCCCCCCTCAACCCTACACCCTATACTATAGCCTAAACCCCAAACCCTCCACCCCACACTACACCCTAAATCCTAAACCCTGAACCCTACACACCTAAACCCTGTGCCCTGCACCCCAAACCCGAAACCCTAAACCCACCGACCCTCCGAGGCCCCTACCGGGGAGAGAACCACTTCCGTGCTCTCCGCAGCCTCAACCTTGGCCTGCTATTGGGAAAGGATAGTTTAAGGATTGCTTAGGGTTTAGGGTGTAGGGTATTTAGGGTTTAGGGTTATTTAGGGTTTAGGGTTATTTAGGGTTTAGGGCTTAAGTCTAGGCATATAATACCCAAAGAATGGAGAATGAAAATAAAGTGCTCAATAGGGAGCGTAACAGATCGTAAGAATATCTAACCTATTGGGGTGGGAGGTTGAGAAGAAACTGGATCCTTTACCTGGTCAGTTCTGAAGTCGGCTAGACCCAGGGAAGGGGCCCAGACAGGAAAAGGAATGACTTTCCGTTGGATATGTTGGATTTATGCCAGCCGCTTGCCGAAAACCGGTCCTTCAACGACATGGGTGAAGGAATGGATCCTTATAGTAGTCCCTATATAATCCATTATAGTAGTTTCCATTTTCTTTTCGGCCGAACAGGCGTCGCAAGGAAAGTGAGGGGTTCCGCATCAGGCAAGATTCTCTTTTCTGCCAAGCGCTTTGTGGGGCCCCTACAATAAGGATTATAGTATTGTTGAAGTCCCTTTTTTAAAGAAACTACCAAATGGCCGTTTCTGACCAGTAGATTTTGAAAGCTTCACTTGGTTGATTTCGCTGGCTGCAGCTGCGAGGCTTGCCCACTCATACTTGGGAAACCGTGTCTTCCCACAGATACCTTAGAAAAAAGATTGCTCCCCAAAGTGCCCCCAAGTCCTTAAACCTCAAGTCCTTAAACCCTTAACCCTAAGTCCTTAAACCCTTAACCCTAAATCCTTAAACCCTTAAACCCTGAAACCCTAAACCGCCCAAAAAAAATCTACCGTTGGAAGACCAAAATCGCGCCTCGGGACTCGCCTGGGCCGGCTTCCAGGCTACCTCTGCTTGGACCAAGTCCTGCAAGGCCTCGCTGTGACGGATCCAGAGCGTGGTATATGATAGAGGGGATATCTGGGGCTTAGGGTTCTAGGGCTTTAGGGTTCAGGGTTTGGGGTTTAGGGTTTAGGGTTCAGGGTTTGGGGTTTAGGGTTTAGGGTTTAGGGTCAAAAGGGGGATCTAATCTTACTCTACCATAGTATCCCTAAATAAAATCTAGCTTGCAGGGAAGGATGTGATATGTTGTGAACTATGGGATATGTGCAGGGATGTGTTGAGTGCGTATCTTTCCTCAAAAAACAGATACCCGAAACTTGACAAACACCTACACCCTACGCCCTGAAGCCCAATCTAAACCTTAAACCCTTTAGTCTAAACCCTGAGCCCGAAACCCTAAACCCCTCGCCCCTCCCCTCAGAGCTTGTTTTTTCCGAGGGCTTGGCGAGCGAGATGTCGCTGAAGCTCGGACGCTCTTCTGGTGGCATCTTGACCTCTCTTTTCACGGGAATTTAGGTTGATGTAGGAGTTACATAGGAGATAATGGCGAAGAAAACGGAAACTACTATATAGGTTTTAAGATTTAGGATTTAGGATTTAGGGTCTAGGATTTAAGGTTTAGGATTTAGTGTTTAGTAGGATTTGTGGCTTAAGGTCTAGGATCTAGGGTTTACGGTTTAGGATCTAGGGTTAAGCGTTTAGGGTTGCAAGGCAAATGTCTCCGCATTTTGGAAGCGCTCAACGAAAAGGTGGGGCATTCATTGAGGTCCTCTCTAAATTTCTTTCCTTCAACATAAAATGCATCCTCGCAAGGATGTTGAACGTATTCTGGTGCACTGGAAGTATGTGTAGCAAAAGCATGTCAAAGTGAAAATGGTCGTTTTCCTGTATAGGGCGACCCCAATGTAGATCTCAAAACGCCATAGTCCAAACCCCAAACCTCAAACCCTAACCCTAAGCCCTAAACCCTACACCCTCAACACTAAACTTGGGAACCCCCAATCACCCCCCGCGCAACCCTCCAGGACCCTGGCAGATTGCAGGGCTAAGGTGGCCAGCTTCGCAAGTAGGTCCGAGGGCCACCTCCGGGGCTTCAGGACTCACGTGGATGGGATAGGGTAAGATAGATATTGGGGGGGTTTAGGGTAAATGGCTTGGGGCTTTAGGGTTTGGGGTTTCGGGTTTAAGATTTAGGTGGGCACCTTGAACCCTACAAGATTGCAGCCTCCCTGCTGCTGGTAAATGTGGATCACGATGGTACACCTTACTCCTTAGCCCACCAGCCCTCGCCCTTATGAACTATGCTCTCGTCTTTCCGCCTTGCTGTTGGGTCCCGGTGCTCCAGTATCCGAGCCTGTGCGCCTGGCGCGGCCTGGCACGGAACTGTACATCAGGGGTTGGGAGGGTGGGAGGTATATACTATGGGGTGTTGGCAGAGTCGGGCGCCAAGAGTCGGAAT